AAGACCTGGCGGATCGCTGGAACACCCCGGCTGCGGCCAGGGACAATGGTCCCCGGGACCTGGGATTCCATCCTGAATGGATTCAACGCCCAGACCTCGGCCTTCACGGCAATGCGCCTCCTTCAGGCAGTACGGGTGGCAGCAAACTTGGTCAGGGGGGGCAACCAGGGTGACCACCCGGCGGGCCATGCGGGCCCGACAAAGGCTCCCTTAGAAGTCCTGTGTGACAGGCGCCAGCTGGAAGATGCTTACGTGGCCACGCATGGGGCCCCGAAGCCGAGGTTGGAATTCCAGGGTAGTGATGGCTACCTCAAGAAGCAATGGCGCATGATTGCCAAGGGCGAATTGGGCTACATCCCGGCAAAACACATCGTGAGCGCGCTCCCGGAAGAAGGGGAACGCCCTTCATCCACCCACAAGAAGATCACGGTGGACGGCTGGGACAGGGAGGATGAAGAAGAGGTGAGGAGCCACCCTACATCTCGGCGCCAGCTGGAACGATTGCACCTAACCTTCAGGACGACGCTCCTGATGTGCACGGCAGCACTGCCGCAATTTGGCAACCTGAGGGTCACCAAGGAGGAGTTGGATGACTGGTATGCCTGGTTCTATGGGGAGGACATAGCCGGCAGGAAACCTCCCCCGAGCGACACCACCTTGCTGTTTGCAGAGCGCAATGCATGGCGCAAGATTCACGAAATGGTGCACCAGGGCACCACTCTCTCCGAAGCCCTCAAGAACATCAGGGGCGACTTCCTCTTCTGGCAACGGGAGGTCTATGAGCACCTCAACAGGGCGCCGACGAAGGGGAAGAGCAAGAGCAAGGCACCCAAGGTGTGGCAGACTCAGTGGGAGAAGCCCAAGAAGGGGGGAAAAGGATCTTGGTCCTCGGGGCCTACCCATTCCAAGCCGAAGGGCAAGGGCGGCAAAGGGAAGTCCCCCAACACCTCCTCGACCCCATGGCCTGACCACTGGGCTTTCAAGAATCCCAAAGGGGTGGCGTACTGCAGGGATCATCACCTTCACAACAAATGCCCTGGATCATGCGGCCGATCCCACAACTGCCCGGTCAGGAAGGATGGGTGGGTGTGTGATGCCCCCCCAGCGAAGCATGTGCCACAGGCATGCCCACACTAAGTGACAGGAGGCCACTCAGGGTGCCATAGGCCCCGTGGCTGCCTGGTCTCCGAAGGGATCACAGGCCACCAGTGCGAGAGCGCACACAGCAGGGGAGAGCCAATCCCACCAGAGCCACAGCGGAAGGCAGACAGAGTTGGGGAGGCCAGGACGGCAGCAGGTGGGAGGGGACTTCTCCAGGGTGCCACCGGCCCCGGAAGCCCCTCCACCGAAGAAAGGGAGTGGATCCAGCCAGGGCACTCCAGAAGGGCGGAAGCACCCTTTTCCCCCGCACCCACCGAGGCAGTGGGAAGAACCCCCAGAGAGACCCAGAGGTGGGGATCCGCCCGGCAAGGGGCGTTCCAAGGGCGGGCAGAACCGTCAGGGCAAGCAGCAAGCCCAGGGCCAGACGACCAGTACGTCGGACAAAGGACACACGGAAACCCCGGGGGGGACAAGCCCCACCTTCCCCTGGATGCAAGACACCCCGGAAAGACTGAGGCGAAGACTAAGGTGGACGCCACGACCGGTGCCGGAGTCGTCGAAGCCGACCCTCATCCTGCTGTACGCTGGGAAGGACGACGCGGGGGCCCTGGATGCCTACCTCCATGCCTACAACCCGGCCTTCTCGGAGTACATTTGGGCAGTGGACATTAGGCGAAAGGGTGGCGATCTTGGACAGGACATGCTGGGAGACAAGCCATACTCCACAATGTGCTCCATGGCCATGGCGGGTAAGGTCGCCTTTGTGGGGGGCGGCCCCAACTGCAGAACGTGGAGCATTTTTAGATGGTTCCCCAAACCGGGAGGCCCGCCACCGGTGAGGGGCAGGGCGGAGCAGACCCTGTGGGGCTTGGAGGACCTGGAGCCCCGGGTAATGGAGGACACGGACAACGACAGCGTGCTCATGCTCCGACAGATGTACCTGACCTTGCTGCCTACCAAGGACTAGGTCAACGAACGGTCGCGCAGGTGGGCTCCTCCTTCCTGGAGCAATCGATGGAGTGCAGCAAGAGTGTGAGCGCAGCGAGGTGCTCATCGATCTGGGTCACACGGGCCTACATTCAATGGGCGAACGCACTCCACCACTCCCTCATCAAGTTTGACGAGTGCCGCCTGGGCCAGGTGGTAGTGAAGTCCACGACGTTGTCAACGGACCTTCCCCTTCACCATTGGCATGATCTGCGATGCAACCACGGAGCTCACCCCACTGGGAAAAGCTCAACTCCAGTGACCTCAGCCAGTACCCAGAGCAGATGATGCAGGGTCTCGCAGCGGCCATCCTCTGCAGAGCGGGACCCGTCCTGGAGGCGCTGAGGCCGGGGGGCACGGTGCCCCAAGTGAACCCAAAGACCCCCCCGAGGCGGCAGAGGGAACCATCTCCCAGCACGCCGGGGGACAACAAGCGCCAGTCCTTGAGGCTGAAGGCCGGCCAACAAGCGTTGGCGGGACTAACCTTGGGCTCACGTCCGGTCTCGGCCTCAGACAATCCTGAGGTCCGGACACCAACACAGCCGGTGAAACTCTTCCCCTTCAGCCATGGGCACGCCATTGCATGGAGATCTCGGATCGGCCCATGACCACCCTGCCGATCACGACCCAAATCTCTCCGACAAGGTTATGTACCTCCAGATGGCCTTCAAACAGCGCCCCCTCAGGGACGGGGGTAGGAAGCCCGCACTTGGACGGCTGGCCCCGTGGACTCGGCCACTGTCCAAAGCAGCAGCGATGGGGGCCAACATCTTTGTAACTCCAGGAGTCGCTCTCGTTGGGGGCCCCTTCCCGGAGGACCTGCTGGAAGATATCAGGGAGATCCTGGCGCCAGGGGCAGGCCGACCAGCGGAAGGCCAACCCTTCTTCCTGGACATCTTGCACAGCCTGGCGCTGAACATTCAGGACCCCGACCACCAGTTTCCTCGGGATCTGGAACAAGGGGTCCCACTGGGGGTCACGGACCCACCCCTAGCCTCGCCGGGCATCTGGCCACTCAAGAAGGAGCTAAGCGGGGAGGAGCCGGAGTTCCAGGAACTCCCTCATCCCACGGGCCGGGGTAACTACCCCTCAGCGGATCACTTCAGTGAGCTCATCCGTAGCACATTCCTGGAGGAGGTCCCCATGGGCATGGTAGATGGCCCTCTCACCAAGGTAGAGGCAGCAGCGCGCTGTGGCTGCAATATGGAGGATCTTTGCCCAGGCCCCCTAGCGGGCATCGACGAAGGGGACAAGATCCGCACCATCTACGATGGCTCGGTGGGCGGGGCCAATGACACCATCAGGAACCAGACGGTGGAACGCTAAACCTCCACCCGAGGGCTGGCAATGGCCGGAGCCGGGCACCAGGTGGGTGCTGCTCAAGGCGGACGTCACCAAGGCCCACCGGAGAGTGAAGGTCCTCAGGAAGGACTGGCGGTTTCAGGTGGCCCCACTGGGGGAAGAATGGTGGGTGAACAAGAGGCACATACGGCATGGCCAGTGCCCAATCCTACTGGGGACGCCTGGCAGCCCTTCTTCTCAGGGTCCTCTACGCACTTTTCCCTCAAGTGGATTGGAACTTCGTCTTTGTGGATGACTTCCTGTGGCTGCTTCGCAGCGAGGGGGCAGTAAACTTGGCGGTGGCGCTGTTGGCAACACTCCTGGCCTTGGGCACCCCGCTTAGCTGGAAGAAGACACATTTGGCGGAGGTCAACACCACCCGAACATCCCGCAGGTTCTCATGGCCGCCAACAAACACATCCTGGTGATGGAGGTCTTGCAGATCATGGTGGAAGGGCAGGCGATGCACTCAAAGGACATCGAGAAGGCCCTGCGCCGCATCCAATGGGCAACTGCTGCATGTCCGCCGAAGTCGATGCTTCAGCCACTGTGGGCCTGGAAAATGGCCACCACCACGGTGGGGAAACCCCCTAAGGTGGTCAGGATGCTGGCGTTCATGCTGCGGTTCCTCTTCAACACGCCCTTCGCCAAAGTCCTCTTGGTGGGGTTGCAGCGATGCTAGCGCCTCGGATGAAGGACTGGCATTTGTGGGAGGCTGGTGCGCCAACAAAATGGAGCCGGGAGGTGTACTGGTTCCATGAGCAGATCCACGTGGAGGAGTACCCGTGGGCATTCAAGAATGGGGATCCCAAGCGGAGGATTGCGGCTCTGGAAATGCTGGGCACGCTCTTCCTCTGTAACATGATCCTCACGCACCAAGGCCCTCTGTCCTCCCGGGTCCGACTCCCGGTGGGCAGTGACAATCAGGGCAACGTCATGGCGATGCTCAACCTTGGATCCAAGAAGCCCTACACCGCGGCTATCCTGATGGAGCTGGTCTTCCTGCTCCACACCCATGGCTGCTCGCTGGCGGCCAACCACGTGCCCCGGGAATTCAACCAGTGGGCCGATGAGCTGACGCACCCAGATTTCTCTGGGTTCGACCCTTTGCACAGAGTCCCTAAACAGGAACTCTGCGAGGAGTTCATTTTTCTCCCGCGTCTCCTGAATGGAGATGCATTTGATCTTAGCGTGGGCCCACCCATGCTCCCGTGACCGGAGCCGGTGGGTGACTCACTTCCCCTGGTGGCAGACCCCCCTGTGGCCTGGGTGCCCCGGGCCCCGGCTCAGGGGCGGGCGCTATCAGTCAGTCTGCACACCCGTTCTTCAGTTTTTGAGAGTTTGTGTTGGGTGGCCCATGGGGCCCACCCAGCCGTTGACATCTGACAGGGGAAGATGAGTCCCTGGCACCAACACATTGCTTGGATAAAAGAGTTATCGCTTGCTTGTGTGGTGCCGTTTGGTTAGCTTACATACACTCCTTGTTGTTTCCCTTCAAAACCAGGCTGAAGCTGGTAGTTCTGAATGAAACGTAAGCGATTCTCAGGTCGAGAGGTCGGGCGACATGCCAGGAAGTCGAATCTTCCAGAAGGCAAGGAGTATCTGGGGGACAGCATGGAGC